TGGACGCAGCGCTGGGTGCTGAAGAGATGGTGGAGACTCTGACAGAGAGAAACCTGGATCTGGAGGAGAAGGTCCGGGAGCTGCGTGAGACCGTCGGGGACTTGGTAAGGCCGAATTCCCTGGGATAACAGCTGCTCCAGGGGGTCAGGATTGGAGGCTGGAACAATGGAGCTCCCCAGAGAGATTTGGGGAATCTCTCCAGAGCCTGAGGCACGCCGTGTGACTTTGTCCCCCTGGTGCCACCTCCTGGCAGGAAGCCATGAACGAGATGAACGACGAGCTGCAGGAGAACGCCCGGGAGACGGAGCTGGAGCTGCGGGAGCAGCTGGACATGGCCACGGCGCGCGTGCGCGAGGCCGAGAAACGCGTGGAGGCCGCGCAGGAAACCGTGGCTGACTACCAGCAGACCATCAAAAAATACCGGGAGCTCACGGCTCACCTGCAGGTACGGCCCCTTGGGACACCTCCAGCTCCTCCTGGGGATCAGCTGGTGGCCAGGAGAGACAGAGGGAGCATCCCTTTGGGAATGTCTCATGGAGCTGGGTGTGGTAGGATGCAGCTTGGAGCTGGGTGGGTTCCTCATGGAGCTTCCATGGGGAGCCTCCCAATGCCTTCTCCTACAGGGAGATGCTGGGAATGTCCAGCTTGGAGAAGTGAGGGCTTCAAGGAGAGCTCAAAGCCCCTTACAGTGCCTTAAACGTGATCCAGGAGAGCTGGAGAAGGACTTGGGACAAGGGTTGGAGAGATAGGGCACAGGGAATTGCTTCCCACTGGAAAAGTGGAGATTTAGATGGGATATTGGGGAAGAAATCTTCCCTGTGGGGGGTTATCCCAGCCCTGGGCTCAGGCCTCCTGGCAGGGAAGGGAGCTGGGGAATGAGCCTGCAGATATTCCTGGACTGGAACACTCTGGGTGCCTCTCCCTCCCTTCCACCTTCACTGGGAGTTGCACAAGGAGGAGATGCTGGGAGGTTTGGGGAGGGGTTTGCTGAGGCTGAGGGGTCCCTGATCTCCATGATTTCCATGTCCCCGTGTCCCATCTCCCCGTGGCCAGGATGTGAACCGGGAGCTGATGAGCCAGCAGGAAGCATCTGCAGAGAAGCAGCAGCAGCCGCCCCCTGAGATGTTCGATTTCAAGATCAAATTTGCAGAGACGAAAGCCCACGCCAAGGTAAGGCCAGCAGGAGACCTGGATGGGTTTATCCATGCCCTGAGACAGGCTATTCCCAGAGCTGGGGCTGTCCCTGGATCCCTGGAAGTGTCCAAAGCCAGGCTGGACAGGGCTTGGAGCAGCCTTGGATAGTGGGAGGGGTGGAGTGAGATAGGTTTTAATTTCCTTCCAACCCAAACCATTCGATGATTTTGGAGCCCTTCTGCTCTGGAGCCAGGCTGGGAGAGCTGGGAATGTTCCCCTGGAGAAGGGAAGACTCTGGGGAGAGCTCAGAGCCCCTTCCAGAGCCTAAAGGGGTTCCAGGAGAGCTGGAGAGGGACTGGAGACAAGGGAATGGAGCTCCAGGACACAGGGAATGGCTTCCTGCTGCCAGAGGGCAGGGTTAGATGAGATATTGAGAAGAAATTCTTCCCTGTGAGGGTGGTGAAGCCCTGGAATGGATTTCCCAGAGGAAATTTGGCTACCCCACCTCTGGAAGTGTCCAAGGCCAGGCTGGAGCATCCTGGGATAGTGGAAGGTGTCCCTGCCCATGGCAGGGGGTGGCACTGGGAGATCCCAGACAGGCATTGAGGCATTCTCCAAGAAACAGGATTTCATGATGTAGTGGTTTTGGTTTGTTAATTTGAATTTTTTTGTTTGTTTGTTTTTGCTGTGAAATAGGATTAGGAGGAAGGTAGAATAGTTTTAATTTTAAATGGTATAAAGAGAAATTTTATTACTAGAAATTATACAGGGAAAAAAAACTTAGAATAAAACTTTAGACCACTTTTCCTCCTTCTACGTAATTATTGAAGACAAAAAAAAAAAAGCTTTCCCAAAGTTTTTTTTGTTTTTACATGTGTATTTCACAAAAACCCATAAACCTTTCCATTAGTGCCAGTATTAAAAATCTAACACTGATTAGTCCTTGTCAAGTACAAAAAAGACTGCCCAAGTCTCAACAGGTAAAAATTTCAAAAAACCTTTAGAAACCACCACACTTGAGCAAGTTAAAAACCAGAGCAAGTTCATCGTTAGTAATTCCTAAAGTGGCTCTGATCCAGTTGATTCCTCCTAAAAGTTTCTGCAGATCTTGCAAGGTGTTAGCTTTAGTCCAAAGCTGTATTTTTTGAGTCCTGATGGATTGTTCTGTCATTTTCCACCCTGAGTACTTTCAAAGTGAGATTTTTTGTATTTTTTCAGTGGAGATTTCAAGTCCTGCATCTTGGACTGCTGTGACAACACTGTCACGAGCCTCTTTTATTTCCTTTTGAGTAGAAGCTGAAATAATTAAATAATTTATAAATGTAAAATGATTCTTCGTGGATGCTCCTGCTGAGCTGGAGCCAGAGCTCGAGCCACAAACCATTGGCAGATAGTAGGTGAATTTTTTATTTTTTGAGGCAAAACAACCCAGTGGTATCTTTGCAGAGGTTCTTGTCTGTTGATGCTTGGAACTGAAAAAACAAACTGTGGAGCATTTTTTGGATGAAGTGGAATATTGAAAAAACAATCTTTTAAATTTGTGATGACAAGAGTCCAGTCTCTTGGAATCACTGAGAGAAAAGGCAATCCTGATTGTAGAGGTCCCATGTCCTCTATCACTTCATTAATTCTCCTGAGGTCTTGAAGCAGTTTCCAAGAATCAGATGCTTTCTTGTGGATGACAAACACTGGTGAATTCCAGGGACTGTTGGTCTTTTTAATTTGGCCTTTCTGTAGTTGTTCTTGGACCAGTTTTTGAGGGCACTCAATTTCTCTTTGTCCAGGGGCCGTTGACTCACCCAAACAGGGTTGTCAGTTTTCCAGGACAGCTTTGGGGTTATGGTTCCCTTCAAAATCCACTTCCAGTCTCACTCCCCACTGAGACAGAAGGTTTCTTCTTCATGCTTTGAAGGGGTTTTGCACCACAAATAGTTGTTGTTTTCCCTTCAGGTTTTTTGACTGTGATCGTGTATTTACTTTGCTGGCATATGCTCCCTTGATACTTGTAATAGCATTTAAAGGTGTAACTAAAGTTCATTTTTTTGGCTAAAACAAATAAGAAATCACTGTAACATCAGCACCAGTATTCAGGAGACTTGTGATTACAATTGTTTTATTATTGTGAGTTCAACTGCAGGCTAATTTTAGTTGATTGCAGGTCTTGGTTTAAAAGACAGGTATCTGCCAAGAAAGGCAGGAGCCTCTTTTTTTTTTTTTAATGGAGAATGTAAACCCCCTCCCTCCAAATTATTGTAATTTTGAAATTAAGGGGCTCTCAGGCAAAGATATGGGAATAGGAATAACAGTTCTTTGCTAGGAAAATTAAAATAGAAATGCAGTATTACAGAGAGCAAACCCAAAAACACTGACGGAGTGAGAATCCAAGCTGACCCCGTCAGTCAGTCAGGGGTTGGTGCAGTCCCATTCCATGGTGGCTGCATCCTCCTGCAGTGACAGATGTGGCTCTGCTGGAGCAGGGCTCCTGGAGAAGGTGCAGTTTTCCTCCCAAGGTCCAGTGATGATGTGGAAAGTTCCAGTTTTCCTCTGGGATCCAGTGGGAAAAGGCTGCCCTGGTGTTCCAAACCTCAGATTTTATCTGGGCAGGAAAGGCTTGGCTCCTCCCCCTGGGTGCAGCATCTCCCAATGGGATAATGGAATTTGATCAGTTAATTATTAGTGGGACCCAATGGGATGATGGAATTGTATCAGTTAATTATTAGTGGGACCCAATGGGATGATGGAATCTTATCAGTCATGCAGTGGGACCCAATGGGATGATGGAATTTTATCAGTTAATTATTAGTGGGACCCAATGGGATGATGGAATTTTATCAGTTAATTA